AATATGAGTCAGTTGCCAAGTGTCGGAATTTTGATAATGATCACTGAAGAGATTCAGAAAACTAACCCACTGCAGGTAGTCCTCAACGTACGACTACAATTGAGCCCCAAATTTATGTTGCTAAGAGAGACATTTGTTAAATGAGTTTTGTCCCATTTTATGACTTTTCTTGCCACTGTTGTTACCTGAATCATTACAGTTAACTTAGTAACATGGTTGTTAAGTGAATCTGGCTTCCCCATTGACTTTGCTTGTTAGAAGGTCACAAAAGAGGATCACATGACACCGGGACACTATAACTATCATAAATATGAGTCAGTTGTCAAGTGTCTGGATTTTGACCATGTGACCACGGGATGTTGCAATGGCGAAAAACGGTCATAAGTCACTTTTTTCAGTGCTGTTGTAACCAGGGGTGTGATTCAAAATTTTTCGCAACCAGTTCTATACCCGGTTGCTGGGTAGGCATGGCCTACTCGGCCTCCTGCACCACAGGGGGATTGTGAGTGGGTGTTTTTGCCCTCCCCAAGCTCCAGAGGCTTTCCTTGAGCCTCTGGGAGGGCAAAAACGGCCTCCCCCGAGGTCCAGAGGCCCTTGGGAGTCTGGAAATGGGCCTGTTTCTGGATTTCTGGAACTTCTGGGAGGCCTGTTTTTCACCTTCCGGAAGCCTCCATGCAGGCGTCTTACCTGGCATCCAAAACAAGCCATGTGGAGGGGCGGGGTGGGGTGGGTGGGACCACCCAGTACTTGCAGCTACCGGTTCACCGAATTAGATGTAAAATTAGCATCCAATTCCCCTGAACTGGTCCAAACTGGCTGAATCCCACCCCTGGTTGTAACTTTGAATGGTCACTAAACTAACTGTTGTAATTTGAGGACCACCCTGTACTATTATTTTGTTAGCTTCCCAGATTTTATAGCGTGAATATGAGAGTCATCATTAGCCCTATCAGAAAGCCCCCTTCACAGAAGGAATTAAGAACTTGAGCCCAATAGAAATCTGGAGATAAGTAGAAAGAATTGCTGATGGAAGATTAAAAAAAATTACTCCATACATTATTTTCAGTCTACTAACCCCTACATTTTTTGAAAATCAACAATGGGACTAACTGAGGAGGGCGGATAATTTAACAAGAGCTATAAAGAGGGATGAAATATAGAGTGGGCCTGGTTCTGGCTACATGATTGTGAGATGAAGATATGGACCCAAAACTCTGTTGATGTTGTTACTCAGAAATGTTTTTGCCTTCTTTTGATAAACCTTCTGTTTCCTCATTGTTATTTTGAAGGAGAAAAAGGATCAACAGCGCTAGAAGGAGCCGACTGAGATTTGTCATTTAACCTTGGTCACATGCTAAAAGGGAAGCACAAAGTTAGAAACTTCCTTTAAAAAAGTTATAAAAATATTAAAAGCATACATCATCTTACTGGGAGACGTGGCTTCCCCTTTTTTATTGTAATTTCATTATTTCTGTTTTGGCCAGTGATCTCAAAAGCTTGAGGAGATGCAGATTTTGGAGAAGGTCTGGAGCTAGGACAACATTATGTTATGCTGTAACTACTAAATTGCATCTTAGGATGCAAAGTTCCAGATGGCCATTAGATGGCAGTCTCATAGAGGAGCTGGAAACAATACTTTCCTGCCCTCTAGTGGACATTTGTATATTTGCAGGCCAGTTTTGATAGGCCTGCCTACACTCTTTGGAAGCCCATGTATCTCTTTCCTCAAACAAAACATCCTCTACCCTTGCATCCCAACAGAGCCAAAATGTTACACAAGATAGGCGGGGACTAAATGGCACATTATTATAATTTTTTACATCTTTCTTGGTAGAGGGCAGCATAGTTAACATTACCTAATCTCTATGGAGATTCTCAGTCTCCATAGAGATTCTCACTATGGAACAATCTCCCCGTGGAGATCCGTACCCTCACCACCGTCCAGGCCTTCCGCACAGCCCTCAAGAACTGGCTAACCCGTCAGGCNAGCTAATCCAGAAGGAGCTGGCAAGAGGGGTTGAATTCCAAGCCCCCCCAGAGACCTGCGAACGACTCTGAGGTCACTGGATCTCCCCAAACCTTCACTGTCTCTTCGGGACAGCTAGGGTCCGAAACGACCCGTCCAAATTCCTTCGGAATAGGGGAATTTCAGGAATAGCCTGAAACTCCGTCTTCTCACTGCTAAGCCCCGCCTTCTTCCCTTCTCTGCATTTTTTAAAATAGAGTCTCAGTATCTTTTTTATAGTGTGGTGACCAAAACTGGATGCAGTACTCCTAGGTGTGGTCTTACTAAGGCTTTATAGAGTGGTATTAGTACCTCACGTGATCTTGACTGAATCCCTCTGTTAATGCAATTTAGGATTGCATTATACTTGAAGGGCTGGCACAGGGAAGAGGGTAGATCCTCACCAGCTCAAGGTTGATTCAGCCTTCCATCCTTCTGAGGTCGGTAAAACGAGGACCCAGATTGTTGGGAGCAAGATGCTGACTCTGTAAACTGCTTAGAGAGGGTTGTGAAGCACTATGAAGTGGTATATAAGTCTAAGGGCTATTGCTATTATTCTCCATAGCAGCTGAAAGCAGGACAAGAAGTACCATAACGGGCGGAAACTTATCCAATCTGGAAACAAGGAGGAATTTCCTGACAGTGAGAATGATGAATCAATTAATTGATCAATTCATTACTTAATCAGGGGAATTACTTGGCTCCAGAATTTGTGGATGCTCAACACTGGAAGTTTTCAAGAACAGATTGGACAACAATTTGTCTGGGTATGATGCTATAAGGACTCTTGACTTTGGCACGGGGTTGGACTAGAAGACCTCCACAGTCCCTTCCAGCCCTATGATTCTATGATAGGACCACTCTGCAATGTCTACTGGTGTCCCTTGATTTATAACCATTTCTTTAGCGACCATTTGAAGTTACAATGGTACTGAAAAAAACGACTTATGACAATTTTTCATACTTATGACCATTGCAGTATCCCCATGGTCACATGAGCAAAATTCAAACGTTTGGCAACTGACTCGTATTTATGACGGTTGTAGTGTCCCGAGGTCATGTGATCACTTTTTGTGATCTTTTGTCAAGCAAAGTCAATGGTGGGAGCTAGATCACTTAAGAACCATGCTACTAATTTAATAACTGAATTGATTCACTAAACAAGAGTGCTACTAAACAACTGCAAGGAAAATAGTAAAATGGGGCAAAACTCATCTGACAACAGTCTTGTTGGCTACGGTGAGTTGGCCATGGTGAGAACCACAATGAGATTCCTGTGGCAAGATGGCCGCAGCAAATTGTCCCTATTGTGGCCTACCAGTGGCTAGCAGACCTGGCAGTAGATTCGGATAGTGAGGAGGTTGTGGATCAACCTTGGGCCAGTCCTGGAGTCTGGGGAAAGCTCTGATGAGGCCTCTGTGTCAGAGGCAGAGACGGGGCCATCTGACAGTTATCAGCTGCCTTCAGAGTGAGACATCAGTGAGGCAGAGGAACAGCTGGAGCCTGTTCCCAGTGTGCGCATGAGCAGAGTTGCCAGACAAAGGGAACAGCTAAAGAACAGGGGTTGACTTGGGAGTAAGGCCACAGGTGGATGATGAAGGGCCCCTCCCAGAGGAAATAAAANAAAATCTTTAAATGTCATTGGTATAATTTTATAACAAATAGAAGGGAGAATTTGTTAAAATAAAAAAAGAGTTTTAGTTTAAGCCAAAAAACAAGGTGGTAAAAAATAGAGGAAAAGAAAATTAGTCCATTCACTTCAAGCGGAGAAAAAGGAAATGTTACAATCACTTCAATCCACAAAACTTAATTGCAAGCAAGAACAAAAACTTTCTAAGGCAGTCCAATAAGGATTAAATTTGCCCCTTTATTCTTTACTTAGAGGACTAATTTATCTTTTTAAAAAAGGTTTCTTTGGGCAATCTTTCTCAAAGTAAAAACAAAACCTCATCCGATGGACTCTCTTTCACTTCCTTCCTTCCAGAGCCGTCTCCAACTTTGTCAGCCTGGGGGCTGCCTGTTTGTCGCCGGTTTGAAGCCCTTCCCTTGGGTCAATCAGGGACTTTATGGTGTCCCTGAGACCAGCAAGGCTTTGTCTTCCTGGTCACCGTCTCTCCGGGACGGTTTAGGTCCTACTGGACCATCCAGAGGCAAAAGTGTCAATGGTGGTCTCGGATGGTCAAGACCGCACTTTGTGTTGTCACGACGTTGGCTCCTCCTTTCATCTTGCCTTATTTTGATAGCAAATATTGCTCACTAGCCTGTCAGTAGTCTGTCACTGCCCCAAAGTCTCAATTGTCTATGACCTCAAAAAGCCATTTTAGAAACCATTTGCTCAGTCCTACCGTTGCTCTTTAGGGGAATGCAGTAATTATAATTCTTTGCATCCCACAGTTAGTCATTTAGTTTCATTTAGGTAATATAGGAAAATTTCCAAATGTCTCCTTAAGTCCACTCTGTAAATTGAATCATAGATCCTGGCATGTAAAAGTCACTTTCTTTAGATGTCTTCCATAATCTCATAGTTAAACCTCCAATAACCATGTATTAGACAGATATAGAACAGTAGATAGCACAGCAGTCCTCCAGGTATTATTTATTTCCACTCCCCCCTTTTTCTTATCAGTACTTCCCAAGCTTATAGGATTTAATATATATTCCATTCACAAGTAGATGTAGCCTTCAGTTTAAATTTCAATGTTGCAAAAAATCTGACAGATATTTATTTTGTTTTTTTGCAAATAGTCAATATTCAGACAAATAANTTCTGAGAACTGAAGAAGCTTCTTCAATTGTCAAAAAAATTCCAGGGAATTAACCATCATGCATTGAGTTTCTTATTCATATTTCCTATGTTGGGTGTTTGTTGCATTGCAGAAAAGAAGGGGGGCCTGGTGGTTTGATGGGGGCATCATTAGTAGAAGACTATGCAAACCAGATTCTGGGTTCCCACTGTCATTCTTGGTTGCCAGGTCCCTGTCTCTCCATCGCCACCATGTCCAGCTCCAAACAACGCCTCATACAGGGCATGCACCAGGACCTCAGCTGCCCCATCTGTCTCAAGCTCTTCCAGTCCCCTGTGACCACAGAGTGTGGGCACACCTTCTGCCAGCCCTGCTTAGCCCGTGTGGCCACTGAAGAGTCTGGGGGCAAAACCGCCCCCTCGTGCCCCACCTGCCAAGCCCTCACCAAGGTGGAGCAGCTGCGGATCAACCAGCAGATGGAGCATTTGGTGGAGTCTTTCCGGCAGGTGCCTCGCGATCACTGTGAAGAACACCTCGACCCACTCAGTGTCTACTGCGAACAGGACCGGCAGGTGATCTGCGGGGTTTGCGCCTCTCTAGGCAAGCATAAGGGACACAACATCATTACCGCTGCTGAGGCCCACCAGAGGATGAAGGTAAGAGGTTGAGGCCGAACACGGCCCTAAGGGCTTAGTGTCTTGTTCTCCTCCTTGTTCGTCTGTCAGTGTCAGTCTAGCAGGTGACCCTGGCTTGGATTCAGTCAGATCATTGGTCAACCCAGCAAGGACAGGCGACAGTGGGATTGCAAGCAAGGACCTTGCTGGATGGAGAAATGCGAAGCACTGAACCTGGTACCATTTTTGCAAGATTTGTGTTCTCCCTCTGAGCTAAAGTATTTGTCCTAAAGCCGTGATGGTGAACCTGTGGCACGCATGCTGTAAGTGGCAGAACCATCTCTCCGGGCATGTGAACTGTTGCCCATTGCTCTTCTGGGTTCCGGCCCGCCACAGCTGGTTTTCATGCGCGTGGGAGCTCTGGAAACCAAAAGAGCAGATGGGCAAATGGATGGATGGACAGATGGGTTCATGAATGAATGGAACAACAGATGGGTGCGTGGGTGGGCAGTTGGGGACATGAGTGGATGGACTGACTGATGGGTGGGTGGGTAGATGATTGAGAGAGTGAATTAATGAATGAATGAAACTACCGATAGTCCTCAACTTACGGCTATAACTGAGCTCAAAATTTATGTTGCTAAGGGAGAAATTGGTTAAATGACTTTTGCTCCTTTTTACAACATTTCTTGAATCACTGCAGTTGTTAAATTAATAACACAGTTGTTATGCAAATCTGGCTTCCCTGTTGACTTTGCTTGTCAGAAGGGGATCACATGACTCCAGGACGCGGCAATCGCCATCAATGTGACTCAGCTGTCCAGCAGCCTAATATACTACAAGGGTTGTAAGCATGAAAAATGACCAGAGCTCACTTTCCTCAGTACCATTGTAACTGCGAACTATCACTAAATGAACTGTTGTAAGTTGAGGACTAACTGTACTGTCCCCCTGAGGGTAGAGCAGGCGATTATGAATCTCCTGGAATATTTGCCTCCAGATCACTGTCAAATAAAGTATCTTCTCTCCTGATCTTTTTCTGAGAAATGTCTGTATTTCGCCATTCCTTGCTTACCATTTGGCATCATTGCAGAAACAGCTTCCTCAGCAGCAGGTCCAACTTCAAGAGGTCCAAATACGCAAGGAGAAGACGATTGCCCTGCTGAATCGGCAAATAGCAGAAGTGGAGGTACCAATCCTGGATGTTTGTTTGTCTTTGTGTGAGAGAGAGACTCAGATAGGTAGGTAGTAGAAAGACCACATGGTGGGTTATAACATATAACATCTATAAAGATACAGCATTAAAACACTGGCTCACCAATTGCATTGCTCCATGCTGAGCAAGCACACGCCTACCTTATGTGTGCATGTATACAAACATCACACACAAACACATGACACAAATGTTCTATATTTAATTTACATTGAATAACTTACTGTATGTTCTACAAACTTTATACTTAGGGAGAATATCCCCATGTCCTCTTAGTTTTTCCTATTTAATCCTCTTAATTTTAATTGTTTTGTATTACCTTTTTATCATTTTGTTACAAAAGTGAGAGGGTGGAATATAAATTTAATATACATATTGCACAAACATACAGACCTGAATATGAAATATTTCACACCTATGCTTTGCAAGCTTGCAGTAATTACCAGATTAATTGCACTTTTCTTGATATTATTTAAGAACTGTAGTTTAGTATAACCAATGACAGTACTATATTTCGCCCATATTGGTAAGAGGAAATTACCCTAAAATCGGATTAAATCTATCTAACAGACATGCTCTCTAGGTGACTATAAGCAGGTTTTAGAAACACTGATTACACACAAGCCTTTTTCATCTTCTATTTAGCCCCAGGACAATTATATATAATTTTATACATTCTCCCCACACTAGGAAACAGTATCCCGGTTCAAACACCAAGTAGCAGAGCAGCTGGGGGCCATGCGGTCTTATCTGGGGGCGCTGGAGTCCTCCCTGGGACAGGAGGCTGAGAGGGTGCAACAACAGGCCTCCGAGGCCTTGCAAAATGAACGCAAGACTGTGACCCGCTATCTGGACCAGCTGAAGCAGATGGAGATGGTTCTGGGGGAAGTTCAAGACGAACCACAGACTGAGTTCCTGAGGGTGAGGCATCTCCATTTTTTAAAATGCTTCTCAGTCTTGATGACACTGAAAACCAAGTTCAAAGCCTTTTATGCTTCTGCATTGTATGATCAACCTTATTATAAGCACACGCGGCATACAGATAGTCCTTGTCTTACCACCATGTATTTGGTGACCATTTAAAAATTACAATGGTACTGAAAAAGGTGACTTATGACCAAGGGTGGGCTTCAAAAATTTTAGGAAGGGCTTCTCTGCCTGGTTGCTGGATGGGCGTGGCCTAGTCGGCTTCCTGCACCACGGCGGTGTGTGTGTGTTTTAGCCCGCCCCAGGCTCCGGAAGCCCTCTGGAGACTGGAAATGGGCCTGTTTCTGGGCTTCCCGAACTTCCGATAGGCCCATTTTTTGCCCTTCCCAGGCCTCCGTGGGCGCCATGCACTTACCTGCATCCAAAACGGGCCGTGTGGAGACTTCAGGGAGAGGGAGGAGGGACGGGGAGGGGGGAGACAGCCACCAGTGGATTTGGGGGTTCTCCAAACTGCACAGAATCTTAGCTAGAACTTCTCCTGAACCACTTCGTACCCCCCGCAGCCCATACCTGCTTATAACCATTTTTCACACAACCATTGCAGTATCTCCATGGTCACGGGATTAACATTCAAATGCTTGGCAATTGACTCATATTTATGGCAGTTTCAGTGTCTCGGGATCATGTCATCCCCTTTTGCGGCTTTCTGACCAATGAAGTCAATGCTGGTCAGCTGGATTCATAGGAAGCCATATTCACTTAAACAGCCATGTTGCTAACTTAACAAATGCAGTGATTCACTTAACAATCATAGCAAGAAAGGTCGTAAAATGGGACAAAATTCATTTAACACATTATAAATTTGGGGCTCAGTTATGGTCATAAGTTGAAGACAACCTGTATCTGTATTTCATTTTTAAATTACCTAACCATGCTGCTAGGAATTCTAGAAGTCATATCCACCAAACAAAATTGTCAAAATCTGCTCTATGATGGAAAAGTACATGAACTTTGCTAACTTCTGCTTTTTTTTTCTCCACAGAAATATTGTCTGGTCGTCAGCAGGTGAGCTGTGTCCATTTAAAACAACCCACCAGCTAGCCCTCTTCTCTGAATTGTGCGCATCTTTAGTATCTCCAAAATGCGGAGTCCTTGGTGCTCTCTGAACTTGGTTGTTTTCTTGTAGATGTTTCATTACCCAAACTAGTTAATATCATCAGTGCTAATAGGGAGTGGCATTTGTTGTCTCTGTATTCTCTGCCTCTTTCTACTAGTACTGAAGATGTTACCCAGTTTGGTAATGAAATGTCTAAAAGAAAACAACGAAGCCCAGAGAACACCCCTCGCTTAAGTTCCTCCTTACCAGAGCCATCTTCTTAGTGTCCAAAAGAGGATGAGAGAGACAAATGTTGACACATATGTGACAATATGACACAACTGACACTGCCTATGTACATGCATCAGACATTAGGTTAGTACACAATTTCATCCTTTGTGCAGCAATGAGACATCTTCGTTTTGACTTCAATATTACTTGTTTTATTAAATTTATTTTTGGATATACATCAGTATCATTATTTCAGTATCAACGAGGCATCTGGGTATCATTCATTTAAATACAAATGCAAATACAAATAGCTGTTGAGCTACCAACCAGCCCCAAATGCTGTGAATCTCACCAAAGATTAACCAAATAAATAATAATAATAATAATAATAATAATAATAATAATAATAATAATTCAAAAACTGACTACCTACAACGCCATGACCGCGTTGCTAAGACCATTCACTGGAAATTGTGCCAAAAGTTTGGATTTGAGTACAGCAAAAACCACTGAGACCATCAGGTTGAGAAGGTTTTAGAAAATGAGAAAGTCAAGATCTTGTGGGACTTCAGAATCCAGACTGACAGGCGCTTGGCCCACAACACACCTGACATAACAATAGTTGAAAAGAAAAAAGTATGGTTCATTGCCATTGCCATATCTGGAGATGCACGAATTGAAGATAAACAGCAAGAAAAAAAATCACAAAGTACCGGGACTTGCAAATTGAAGTTGAGCAACTGTGGAAAAAGAAATTGTGTCCCGATTGTAATTGGAGCCCTTGGAGCAATACCCAAAGGGCTACCTCGCTATTTGGAAATTTTAAATTTATCAGACTTGAACATTCTGACTCTACAAAAAACCGCCCTACTTGGAACAGCTTATATCCTCCGGCGTTACCTTAATATTTCCTAGGTCCTTGGTTAGGATTTGAGCTGTTGAGCTACCAACCAGCCCCAAAGGCTGTGAATCTCACCAAAGATTAACCAAACAACAACAACAACAACCATAATAATAATCATTCCATTTTTTGATCTCTTAATATATATTGTTTTTTTATTTTATTCATAAGTCTTTACTGTCTTCTGCTTCTTCTCTTGTTTTATTTGTTGATTTATCTGTTCCATCTTTTCCTCTGGTCTTTCTATTATCTCCTCTATTTCCTGTGTTTTATGCTCTTTATTCATTGTCCCTTGTTGAACATTTTCTGATTTCCCCACTATGTCTTACATTAAGTCTTTTATCTCCTTGTGGTTCTTTATCAATATATCATAAGTACTTTGGAGCATCAACGCCATTTCTTTTTGAAATCCACTCATCTCCTCCTGATGCAATATCTTGCCTTATTTTTATTTTTTTATTTGGAAAAGTTTTATTGTTTTAATTAAACAAAAACACACAAAAAAGAATCATATTTCGTTTCATGTTGTAGAAAGCGTGTCGATTGGTAACAAATACATTTTGTGCGTTTCTTTCACAATCCTTACATATACTTCATTCAAATTGAATTGTACATTTTAAAATTTAT